TAGATTGGCATCAAGTAAGAAGACCACTTGATAAATGGTGGAGTTAAAACATGTTTCTGGATTTTTCAATACTTTCTATATTTTACGCGGACACAAAAAACATGAAAAAAAAAATACAACAAGATCTATGTTGGCAAAGGTGCAACGCTAAAATCATTTGTAATGTTGCACGTGAATTTATATGCCAACATTATATTTGACGCTTATAAAATGTTGACAACGAGCTCTGGTAATCATGTAGAATGTATGCCCATGGGTATAATAGTGCAAAAATGACATGTACTATTTCATTTGATAAGAACCAAACATAAAAGGTTTCAGCAGGAAATGACAGACTTGACAAATAACATAGGCTGAAATAAATATGTATTGTGTTTATTGGGTTACTTGTTGTTGTCCTTCAAAAATTGGGGGTTTAGAAAGTGTCAAAAAGTGCAATTTTTCTACAACCTTGTGTTCTCTCGAATTATTCTAAAAATAGCGATTTTTTGTAAAAAAAAATACTGCCGGAAGTCTATGAAGAGAAACACTGTTGTACTGTTAAAACATCGTTATCGGGGAAACAATAATCATTTTATTACTTTACACTCAGTGTATTAGTCATTGGTGACTAAACTGAGTGGTCATTTCGCTGCGCTCAGGTGTTACCGGGTAGTATTAGAGCTAGTTTCTAAACAAATATGCACTGTACATACAACACAATGCTATTTCGTGATGTCATGCGATTCATGACTTTAAAATATTATGATTAGGCTTCTACCTTAAAGCATGGAGGTAAAAAATCTTTTTTTTTACCTCCATGCTTAAAGGTAACTTTTTCAACTATTATACTAAAGTATACTAACTCAAAGGTTAATGTATTTCGTTCATGCTTGTTGACGGATAACTAGTAAGAACGACCACAGTCATGTCAAATCTTGTGCAACATTTATTTTTCGAGAGATATGAATTACACCTTGTGACTACAAAACTCAGTTTGCTTTTAAAGGGAAACATTCAACAGACTTATGTGTTGTCGTCTTAAGATTGTTTTACTCATAATT